TTGCAGAAGCCTCTGAGAAAAGTTGCAGGCTAAGCTTTTACCAGTCATAAGCAACTGGTGTGGATTAGATGCTCACATTCTTCCCCGGAAGCAGTTTTGATGGAGAGCCTTGCTCAGAGGGCCCTAAGAAAGACAAGGTCAATGGGAAAGCAAGCTGCTGACCTCTTCATTTGTGGGCTGTCAGATTCTGGAATAAGAAAGGGTTATTTTTTCAAGTTTTAGTCCATAGGACAAAGAACAAAGAAAGAAGAGGCTACTGAGGGCTGATTTTGCCTGTATCTTATCTCTATATATAATTAATATCCCACTTCAATTATGTCTCTATATAATTATGTCCCACTTCTAGAACTGCATGTCCAAGGAGCTATACATTTGCTAGAAGGGGATGACCAGTTCAGCTCTGAGTTTCCTGGAAGCCAAAGCCAAGAGCTCCATGTCCACAAGATCAAAGACCAAGTACTCAGAAGAACAGCTTTTCCTGATACTAAGAGTTAAGTGTTCTCCAGGAATCCTCATAGAGACAACCTTGCATGATGCAGTGGACAGCACCCTTAGCATGCTCTGCAAGGGTCATTCTGCAGTCTCTTTCAGCACTGGACAACAGCACTCTGTCTCAAAGGTAGACCCTAAGTTGATAGCATCCTTAGAAACTGTCCTAATATTACAAAGAACACAATTTAGCATATGTACCCTCCTCAGTGAGGACCCTCCTACCATCCTGCAAGAAATTCTCTGTGAGACTAGACTTTGGATGAGAACAGACAACAGGAAGTTGGAGACTTCATTCTCTGGCACCAGTTAGCCTGGTGGGGAGAATTTCTGCATACCTGGAGGTGCAGTTGAGATAATCCACAAAGCTGAAGGCAGAGTCAACAACCTCCCATGCAAGTTAAGGACACCTAGGCAAGTGCATGTATGCCTGAGGGCAGGACCAACACATTTCCCAGGAAACCACACAGCACAGACTGGATAAGAATGTGGGTTGTTTGCATAAAAACCCTAGAAGAAAATCTAGGCAATACCATTCAGGACATAGGCCTGGGCAAGGACTTCATGTCTAAAACACCAAAAGCAATGGCAACAAAAGCCAAAATTGACAAATGGGATCTAATTAAACTAAAGAGCTTCTGCACAGCAAAAGAAACTACCATCAGAGTGAAAAGGCAACCTACAGAATGGGAGAAAATTTTTGCAATCTACTCATCTGACAAAGGGCTAATATCCAGAATCTACAAAGAACTCAAACAAACTTACAAGAAAAAAACAACCCCATCAAAAAGTGGGCGAAGGATATGAATAGACACTTCTCAAAAGAAGACATTTATGCAGCCAGCAGACACATGAAAGAATGCTCATCATCACTGGCCATCAGAGAAATGCAAATCAAAACCACAGGAGATATATCTCACATCAGTTAGAATAGCGATCATTAAAAAGTCAGGAAACAACAGGTGCTGGAGAGGATGTGGAGAAATAGAAACACTTTTATACTGTTGGTGGGACTGTAAACTAGTTCAATCATTGTGGAAGACAGTGTGGCGATTCCTCAAGGACCTAGAACTAGAAATACCATTTGACCCAGCCATCCCATTACTGGGGATATACCCAAAGGATTATAAATCATGCTGCTATAAAGACACATGCACACGTATGTTTATTGCAGCACTATTCACTATAGCAAAGCCTTGGAACCAACCCAACTGTCCATCAATGATAGACTGGATTAAAAAAATGTGGCACATATATACCATGGAATACTGTGCAGCCATAAAAAAGGATGAGTTCATGTCCTTTGTAGGCACATGGATGAAGCTGGAAACCATCATTCTCAGCAAACTATCGCAAGGACAAAAAACCAAACACCACATGTTCTCACTCATAGGTGGGAATTGAACAATAAGAACACTTGGATGTAGTAAGGGGAACGTCACACACTGGGGCCTGTTGGGGGTAGGGAGCTGGGGGAGGGATAGCATTAGGAGATACACCTAATGTAAATGACAAGTTAATGGGGGCAATGCACCAACATGGCACATGTATACGTATGTAACAAATCTGCATGTTGTGCACATGTACCCTAGAACTTAAAGTAAAATAATAATTAAAAAAAAAAAAAAGAATGTGGGCTGTTTGGCGCAGTGGGTCACACCTGTAATCCCAGCACTTTGGGAGGCAAAGGCTGGTGGATCACTTGAGGTCAGGAGTTTGAGACCAGCCTGACCCATATGGTGAAACCCTGTCTCTACTAAAAATACAAAAATCAGCCGGACGTGGTGGTGCATGCCTGTAGTCCCAGCTACTCGGGAGGCTGAGGCAGGAGAATCACTTGAACCCAGGAGGCGGAAGTTGCAGTGAGCCGAGATCATGCCATTGCACTCTAGCCTGGGTGACAGAGTGAGATTCCGTCTCAAAAGAAGAAAAATAGAGTGTGGGCTATGAGGTCACAAAATTTGGGTTAAAATCCAGGTTTTATCACTTTCTAGGTATTTGACCTTGGATAAGTTTCCTCAGATATAAAAGGAGAATAGTAACAGTAGCTACCTTGTGGGGTTGCTGAAAAAATAAATACAATAATGTGGTAAAGCATTAAGAACAAATACCTGGTACAAAATAACGCTCACAGAATATTGGGGATTATTGATAATATTATTGTAATATTTAAAAATAAATGAAAAATTAATAGGCATACATTTAAACACATGGAAAATGGACATTTGGAACTCCAGAGTTTTCTGCCATAACAGTCTAGAAAAATGTGGAACGGGGAATAACTATCCAATAAAGGGGGAATAATTATCCAATAAAATCCTCCCAAACACCCGTAAATATTACTTCCTGTAAAATCATTCAAGAAGTATTTGCTACACAATGTAACAGAAAACAAGTGATTTGATTCTAGTTTATATAACTTTGACAATAAATTGATTAAGTCTTGGGTGAAATTTATGGAAAATAATTTTTTTTTGGAGAATTGCTGTTCAGCCATTCTTAGTGGTAATGGTCAACAGGGCCATCTATCTGATGAGCTCATTTCTAGTTCACAGCATTGAACCATCCACAGAATGGAGAATTGTGCCCTTTCATTCTCTAGAGTGGCTGATGATGTCAGGAGTTGTAATTTTGACTCAATAAAGTATTTACTTTTAAAATAATTATCGCCTGAGATTGTCATCTTCTCTGTGAAATGAAAATAAAATCTCAGGGCCCCCAATTCACTATGCCAAAGGGAGAAGTTTGGAGGCTGAGTCACAACCCCTCCTCCCTGCCCCCCAAAACTGGCTTTCCTTTTGTTCCTAAACTGATAGCTACAGATAGAAGGCCACATGTCTTCACAGCTTCCATCACCCTGACAATGGAAATTAACAGCTTATCTTCGTGGGTACAGGACAAGAGGAGACTAGAAATTGTCCCCTCACTCACCTGAAAATGAATGCGTATTTGACTGCTTCCTCTACTCTCTGTTTACTTTTACTCTATCTTATGTAAAGCACAGATTTACTGAGTGCAAGATGAATACATAATTGACCATTCCCTTTACCCCCCCTTCTCATGTGCAATGGGCAGATTCACAGGAATGTCACCAAACCCTCCCTCTTTCCCTCCATCCCTTTCCGCTCCTGCCCACTTTTCCCCTTTAAATATTGAAACCCTCAAAATCCTGTTTGGAAAAAGTACGAGCCACAGATCCTACTGTGGTTTCTGTCTCTTTTTTTATTTTCTGGGTGCATCCTCAATCTTGGCCAAAAACAAAACAACAACAACAAAAAACACCCTCTAAAATGACAGAGACTCACTTCAGTCAGTTTCTTTGATTTATGTCTCTATCCAAATATGGTTTCTGTTGACCACAGTTCTCCCAATGATTCAGTTTTAAGATGCAGGATCTATCCCAGTGGCTCACGTCTGTAATCCCAGCACTTTGGGAGGCCAAAGTAGGCGGATTGTCTGAGGTCAGGAGTTCAAGACCAGTCTGGCCAACATGGTTAAACCCCATTGCTACTAAAAATACAAAAAAAAATTTAGCTGGGCATGGTGGCATGCACCTATAACCCCAGTTACTTGGGAGGCTGAGGTGGGGAATTGCTTGAACCAGGGAGGTGCATGTTGCAGTGAGCCAAGATTGTGCCGTTGCACTGCAGTCCAGCCTGGGTGACAGAGCAAGACTCTGTCTCAAAAAAAAAAAAAAAAAAAAAAAAAGAAATATCAGCAAACCAGGGGTCTATACTGAGCTTAAGCTGCAGAGACCAGTGTCTCTCAAACTTGAGTAACACATGGAGCCCTTTTAAAGAAAAAAATTGTCATGGGTCCCGAGAATATATCTGCAGACCCCAGTTTGAAAATCAGTGGCTTAATCCATGGGCAATTTTAATTTACAGAGTCAAAGGCTACAGGAATGTCTATGAAAACTTCAAACAGCCATATTCACAAAGTTATAAGACTATGTCAGTCAGTTCTTAAATAGCTGTATGTAAATCCTGCCTCCTCCTCATGAAAAATATTGTCCTGAGAAATGTATGCTTCCAATTTCCTTCATTTATTCATCCCATTTTTATTGTGTGCTATGTCTGTGCCAGCTATTGTGCTAGGCACTGGAGTTTCATTTTAAGCCACACAGTTATAGTTCTATTCTCATGGAGCTTTCAGTCTATAATGGGGAATATTATTTAATATTATTGCTTAATAAGTAATCAACAGTATGATAAGGGTCAGAAAAGGATGGTCTTGGAGTGGAATGGAAACCTGTGTAGTAGAGAGACCTATGTATGGGTCAGGAAATTTCTCAGAGAGGAAACTGGTATAAGGTTTAAAGGGCAGTCCAATATATTATTAAGGCTTTAACTTGGGGGAGAAGAGGACTACACTTTTAAAGGGAGAATTTGGTGGAATTCATCTGGAAGGACCATATCCATGCAAACATGCTGGAGATGATGGGAGCTGATAGATACAATGGCTTTAAAGTGATTCTTGTAGAACATGGGGCTTCCTCTTTCACCCTGCAGGACCCATGTGGGCAGAGAGGAGAGTTCTCACCTGGAGTTCAGCATGGTGGACTTGGGCTGCAGCCGTGGCCACCTGGTCCTCCAGATCCGCCAGATGGGTCTCATCAGTGCCGCTGTGGATGCAGCGGGCGGCATCTTCCAGCTCAGTCAGCTGGCTCTCCAGTCCATACACAGTGCCTGCTGCCAGGTATACCTGTAGAGAGAGTGCTGCATTTGAGTTCAGGTCTGCAGACCTGGGACTCGTTGGGGTCCCTTGAGGGGACCCCAGCAATTCAGAGGAGTGAGAGAGAGAACTGGGCTTAACATGGCAGGGGGAATGTTATTTTTATAACATTTATGAACATTCTTCACACTTAAATGTGTGAGGTCTTGACACCCCTCACTGTCAACCACACCTTCCCTCTCCCACAAACTTTCCTGTACGAAAAAGCATTTTAAAGTTGCTTTTGTTCAAATAGTGCAAAATACATGACATCAGCTATGCAAATTGTGTATTGGTCCAGTGACTATAAAAATGACTATAAAGAAGAAACAAAGAGAAACATTCATGATGGAGTTTTGCCAACACAACTTTTGTTTAGCATTTAGTATTTGAGAAAGAATTCAGAAAACATGAAAGAAGGGAAAAAATTTAAAATAATTACAAATTTTGAGTGAATTCTCTGATTAATTAGCTTCTGCATGCTTCAGTGAGGTTAAGGGAATTAAATAAACCTGAAGTTTGTAGTTGAAAAATATTTCTTAGAAAATAGTGTGATGTTAAGAGAAGCATGTTGAATCTATTTATCTGTCAATTAGGACAATTTTTGAGAGCTATTAAAAATAAGAGAGCAAGTCTGATAAAGAAATTTAAGAAAAAGAAACATTTTTTACTTACAAGTTTATAAGGTTATTCCCATAAAAGTGAGCAAGGTAAAATCCTTGAAATAACTCAGACTAAGTGGTGTGGGCCAGAGTGAATGAAACACATACCCCCTCTCCCTAATCAATAATGTGATGAAGCAACCAACAACACAAGAAATGAGATGTATCTAAAGAAAGTCATTACTTAAAGAGAGGTTCTTGAGGTTTAATCAACATATATAAAATCCTAAACCTGTAATCACAGCAATTTAGAGTTGATTTGAATGAAACACATGGCCAAGACTTTAACGGTTTCCTGAACTTGGGTTAAGAATACAGAAGAGTTGAAGACAAGTCAAGAGTTCAGGTACACAAGTTATGCTCCTTCCTTCCTTCCTTCCCTCCTTCCTTCCTTCCTTCCTTCCCTCCCTCCCTCCCTCCCTCCCTTCCTTCCTTCCTTCCTTCCTTCCTTCCTTCCTTCCCTTCACTTAATGACGCTGTGTTGGTGAGGGAAAGAAGCCTGAGATGTTCCCACTCTGTCAATTCCTTGGCGTGATTCACTCATCTGTTTTAAAACTGGCAATTTTACAAAACATTTCAAGGTGGAGCAAAGGCAGGTACAGGTTTGATGAAAGCAAATTTGTGCACCATCACCAGACATAATTACCTGGGCTGTGGGAGCTTTCAGCACTGATTGGCACAGACGATGTCACATCAGATGATTCACCAGTCATACAGGGGCCATGAATCAAATGTCTGATGGGAATTGCCATACTTCAGTTTATCTTTTGTTTTATATTTCTTTATCATATGTTGAATATGTAATTCTGTTTCATACAGAGAAATTCTGTTTCTAAGAGATCCTCACAATTTAATCATAGCCATTTATTTTTGTTTTTAAACAGGAAATGGTTCTTTGTCAAATGAAAGAAATGATAAATATTTCAAAGGTATTTGAGTGAATAAATTATTCAAATAATGTATCACAAAATTTCTGAAGTTGAAAAACTTCCCTTTAGAGGGTAAAAATATAATTGGGGGTGGGGAAAAGGGGGATAACCAGAGAGAGAGAGAGAGAGAGAGATGTTTGAAGTTTATTATACTTTTTTATACTTTCTCCTATCTACACCAAAAAAAGTAAATTTATTTTAATAAGAATTTAAAATATAAATCTACAGTTTTACACAGTGAAACAACATTTGGAGTTATTTAAGTGAAATAATTTAAGCATGGCAATGGTTAAACAGAACTTAACATAACTAAGGTCTTGGAACCTTGATTTTAGCAGAAACATGCAAAACTCAATGTCATCACACCCTGGGATGTGCATCAACCTGATTGCTGTTTACATCTTCAACATGTTCATTCCCTAATGTTCCTTTTTTTTTTTCCTGCCAAGACAAAGCAAGATGAAAAAGCTCCAAGCCCTCAGCAAGGCCAGAATGTTCATCTTTTACTCTGTGTTTGCTAAAAGCCTACTTTCCTGGCACCAGGAGGAAGAATAGATTTAGTGGTTTGGCACTGATACCGGCTGAACAGGAATTTACAGCCAAAATGATGGTGCCTAAAGGACTGGAGGAGAATGATGATGATGATGGTGGGGATGATGATGATGTGATGACAGCATTAATTTATAGAGTCAGTGGCTGAGCCAAGGGTTTTATGTGACTTATATATGCTCATAGCAACCCTTGAGGTAGATACTCTTGTAATAATTGTGTTCAAGACGAGAATTTTTATGCTCTAGGAAGGTTTAGTGATTTTCTGAGGTCTCAGCTGGGGACTGGTGGACCCTAGAAGTGATCTCAGAAGGGCTGAAGCTAGTTCCCTTGCCTTTATCCTCCTTGCCCTATTATGCTGTGATAATCTCAGTTGGAACGTTATAACATTTTGCATTTCAGATTTTAACATAAAGGTACTAGAGTTACTATGGTTACAGATGGATATGATATTGGCTCTGTTGCTGGCTTGAAATAACAAAAGGTAACATGCTATATGATGAAAATGTTATTCTAGCTTTATAAAACATAACCCATTTGAAAAATGTTCACTTGGACTTGCTTGGTAAGTTAAGGTCCACTTTTGGTGAGAACTATGGTTACCATGTCTGAGTAATCTATGACCCCTTCAAACTCTAGTCATTGATGCCTATGATTGCATTCACTGACTCTCAGTTCAACAAGGCTTTCTCAAAGTGGTTCAAGGCATAAGAATAGGTGTTTCCTTAATGAAACACTTATTTGTGATTAAATTCTCTAGAATAAAGAGTGTTAAACAGATTTCTTTACTGCAGGTCTTCCGAGAGGCTTTAATGTGCTAATATGTATCTCAATTTTCCTAGAAAGAGTATGCAAGCTTCCAAGACTTATTTGACCTTAGAGCATCTTGTTGGACTTGACTTCCATGAAATATACTTTAGGGGACTAATGTATTTCTTTCCTTGCACTCTGAGGGCAGAGAACCACCTGAGTAACCATGATCATCTCCACAAGTTCTAGTGCCACATCCTCTTTGGTGCTGTGAGGGTTGTAGGAGAGCTTTGGGAAAGAGGACCAACATCCTCTGCATGGACCTGGATTCAGTGGCAGAGCTGGGCTCCCTGTAGTGCAGGTCTGCTGTGTCTGCTGCCACTGGTTGTATACTCCATGGGCAATGTGGGATGGAGCTAAAAGGGAAGTTGGGTTTGCCCTCCGCTCCCTCTGAGGCTTGGGATTATGGGTTACTTACAACCCTGCATACATCCTCAAGGTGGCAGTCCTACTATTCACACCACAGGTCTGAGAATGCTCATGCTAGTCATTCTCTGTTGACCTTCTAGGTCCATTTTCTATCCTCCTTTGTCCTGCCCTGTTTCCTGGGAGGCTGACCTATTTGGACTTCATCACCAGGGCTTCCTGGCTGTCTGGGATTGGTTTGGTCAGTGGAGATACCACTGTCTGGGACTGGTAATAGCTTCCTTTTATTGCTACTATTCCACCCTCAGCATCCCATAACCTTGCCCACACCTGAGTCCAGCTACATCCCAACAGGTATAGCAGAGCTCTTCACAGCAAGAGTTTAAAATACCTAGAGACCAAGACATTCAGCCCAAGGACTTGAGCCCCCATTGCGTGCTGCTGTGGAGGCTGGGATTAGTCCTAGGTTGTTTCTGCCTTCAGGGGAGACAAGAGCTGATTTCACAGCACTAACACCAGATAGCAGGTGAGAAGTGTCAAAGCTGAGAGACAAGATAATTCTCAAATACCCATGCCCTCTGCTAATTAAGGGGGTTAAGGCAGTTCATGAAAACAGGAGATTGGATATGTAAATGCCGATGTTTCTTTACCTTATGTAGCTCTGAAACCTTCAGAAGTATTTTTATTTTTTTTCTTTTTTCCCATTTTGCTCAGGACCCGTTGTGTCCCTCAAGGAAAGAGATGTCACAGTAAAGATGATCTGAGGTCCTGGGGAGATCCTTTCTCTTCCTCCCCATTACAAAAGCCACACAGGCGAAGCTAGTGTAACTGGGCAGAGCTGTGAGTCTTCAGAGGTATTTTTAAAGGTGAACATTCTCAACCAAATGTTCTTTTTCTCCCCGAGTCCTGTCCTGCGGTAACCAATGTTCAGAAAGCAAGAATAGTGTCACCGTTTCTATTTCTGACAGTCCCTAGGTTCCCTAGCACAAAGGAGAACAGCGGAGGAGTGCAGGACTGTTCTTTATTCTGAAGACCAACAAAAGCCATGGTTTAATGAGATCAGCTGCGCCCAGAGGACAGTTTAAGAACCACCCTGGCTTCTCCCACTGCTCAGCTGAATTCCATCCGGGAGCAGCAGAGCGAGGCAACCCGCCCGTGGCTCTGTGATCTGTTGAATTAAAGAGACGAAGAAGAGTCCTCCTTTCCCTGACTCAAAAGCTCATGAATTCAAAAGAATATAGATGGGGTTTCTTCTGAGGTTAAATTTAAAAAGCTGAAGGATGGGGGAAGGGAAGGAGGAGGAAGAACGCAGTTAACTCTTTGGGAACAGGAGAGGCATGAGGGGTGCAGAACAGGGGAGCAGTCACCTACAGACTGGGCCTTCCAGCCTTGGTCCCTGCTGGGGCTTCTGACATCTTCAGTCTGTGAGTAAGTGGACATATTTTAAATCGAAACTGTTAATGAACCCAAAGGAAAAAAAACATAACTTACAATTAAAGGATCTTACAAGATGAAAACTCCAATAAGGCCATTGCATTCTTTTCAACATGCTCCTTGGAGGTAAAAATAAAAGGGCAGGATATCTTTGTTTTAAGTGTGCTATGAAAACTGACCATTTTCATTTAAACCAGATATTTCACACACTGTTTTTCTGATACCATACTTTGTAAAAAATACATTCGTTTGCTAGTGAACCATGTCTTTAACCTTTTCAATTCTGTGTGTCCAGGATCAGGGCCATCTCAGGACTCAGCTATGTTAGAGACACATTTAAAGAACAGAGACCCTGTGCATGAGAAGTCAAGCAGTTCTTTTTAAAAGGGGTTTCATTCCTCTGGTGTAGTCATACATCAGCTAAACATTCACCAAGTGCTTCCTCTGTGTCAGGCTCTGGGTGGTGGACTGGGGCTAGGCTACAGAAATAAAAGGTGGTAAACCCTGTTCTGCAGGAATTTATATATCTCATTCCCAATCTGGGGGTGATTTTGCCCTGCCCCAAACCCTTAACATTTGACAGTGCCTAGAGACAATTTTGACTGTCACACTGGGAGGGTGCTGCTGCTAGCAGTTAGTGGGTAGAGACCAGGGGTGTGGACAAGTATCCTGTGCACAGGACAGCCCCCACACGAAGAATTGCCTAATCCAAATGTCAATAGTGCCAGCCTAATGGGAGATGGATGAGTGAACAGAAAAGATGGAAAGTGTGAAAAGTGATCAGACAGATACATGCATAGGTTTTATGGGAGCCCAAAGGGAGAGAGTCTTCAACTTTTAAAGTGAAACAAGCATATATATATATATATGTAATTTTATTCATAGAGATGGGATCTCACCATATTGACCAGGCTGGCCTCAAACTCCTGGCCTCAAGCAGTCCTCCCATCTTGGCCTCCCAAAGTGCTGGGATTACAGGCGTGAGCCACCACACCCAGCCTGCAGTTAAACATTTTTCATTTCTTATTGTTTCAACTTTTATCAAAAAATACTTCAGGCTGGGCATAATGGCTCATGTCTGTAATCCCAGCATGTGGGAGGCCAAGGCAAGAGGATCACCTGAGGTCAGGAGTTTGAGACCAGTCTGGGCAACATAGCAAGACCCCATTTCTGCTTTAAAAAAAACACTCTAATAACAATTCCTGATTTCTGGGAACAGCATTCATTAGAGCACCTCAAAAGCACAGTTGAGGCCAGGCGCGGTGGCTCAAGCCTGTAATCCCAGCACTTTGGGAGGCCGAGACCATCCTGGTTAATACGGTGAAACCCCGTCTCTACTGAAAAGTACAAAAAACTAGCCGGGCGAGGTGGCGGGCGCCTGTAGTCCCAGCTACTTGGGAGGCTGAGGCAGGAGAATGGCGTGAACCCAGGAGGCGGAGCTTGCAGTGAGCTGAGATCTGGCCACTGCACTCCGGCCTGGGCGACAGAGCGAGACTCCGTCTCAAAAAATAAAAACAAACAAACAAACAAACAAAAAAAACAAAAAAAAAAGCACAGTTGACTTTGCAGGAGCTGGCATTACCTAACTTGATTTGATATCAACTTCATGGCAAGAGCCATGCCAACTACTCATGGTGACTACAGCTTGAGTGTCCAAATTTCTCAGTGTCACCCTTGGTCTGGAGTACTGGAAAATTCTTATCCTCAGCTATTTCCTGAAATACTCAGTGATCATGAATATTTACCTGTAAAAATCTATTACACTGTTTATTTCATCACAAATCAGAAGGACTGAAAAATCCATTACTAGCAAATATCCCTATTAGGCCAAACCAAACATACAACTCCTCAAGTGGCAGTGAGAGCTTTCCTGAACTCTGAAGTTATCACTCACACCCACCCCGCCTCCAGGCCAGGTGCCTCTTACTTGACAGCCAAGAATTTTTCTTCTCTTTGAATGGAAGGGGGAAATTACAAAGTCCTTTAACCTAAACATAGTCATGCTTTGCTAAACAATGAGGATATATTATTAGAAATGCAAAATTGTGTGAACATCATAGAGTGTACCTATGCAAACCTAGATGGTATAACCTCCTACACGCCTAGCCTATTGCTCCTAGGCTACCGCATGTTATTGTACTGAATACTGTAGGCAATTGTAACACCATGGTAATTATTTGTGTATCTAAACATAGAAAAGGTACAGTAGAAATACAGCATTATAATCTTATGGGACCACCACTGTTGTATATGTGATCCGCCATTGACCAAAACCTTATTATACAGCACATGACTACAATTATATTTGCGAATACCTTTTAGGCGTACAAACTAAATGGAATTGAATCTGAAGAAAGGTAAATGTAAGCACTGTCTTCTCCTCCCTTCCCCAAGTACATTGATTTTGCCTTCAGAGATGTACAAGTTTCCACAGGGAACCAGCTGACTTGGCTGATGGTCTTTAACCCTTCTAAATGTTGAAACAGATTGTGAGCACCTTCCCCTTCATCCCCTTCCCCCTTTCCAGACATGTGGTAGATCTCACCTTCTTTCCCTGTGACCCTGACTCTGAGGCATGGCTTCCTTCAGGCAGAAAAGGACCTGGCACCAGGGAAAGCCCAGCTACGTAAGTCAGGGTCCTCAGAAGAAGCAACAAGTAAAAACAGGATGAATGAGGCAGATGAGTCTTCTGGGCCACTCTGCCTACACTTCTGTAAAAATGGATGATTTTCAATAAATCAATACTAATTTTTCAATTTTTCAATACCAATAGGACTTGTTTTATTTCCTTTCTTTCTCAAGTGTCTTTCTCTTGAAAGCAGCAAATGCATACTTGTTCCAGGATGAGAGACAGAGCTAAGAGTGTGTGTTATTAAAGTTGGAACCACTTTTAACAACCCATTCTTTAGTGAATTTTAATGGGATCATTTTAGGAGTTGGCTGATGACATGCCTTTCAAATACTAATAAGAATAGCCAACATTTATGTGTACTTTTTTGCAAGCATTATGCTAAATGTTTTATTTCCAAAGAGGAAATGTAATTTTGAATATAGTTGATGTTAGGCATTTTCCTCTTGATTGGCAGATCCACTAGCAGTGGTTGGTTAGCATCCTTATTGGGGAGCATAGGAATTGGGGAGGGGGAAATGATGGCAGTCTGAGGTCTAAATATGGTCAGAAGGTAATACAGTGGAGTCTTACTCAGTTCCCAGAGTGCTTGGACAATTTTGGAGTGGAGTGTGGTAGGCTCAGAAGAAAGACAGTGGGCTTCTTGTTGCTAATGGCACAAGGAGACTTGGGTGATTCATTGGAAACATAAATTACATATGATTGTGTTGTTATCTTTTTTTTTGAGACAGAGTATCACTGTGTTGCCCAGGCTGGAGTGCAGTGGCACCATCTTGGCTCACTGCAACCTTTGCCTCCTGGGTTCAAGCGATTCTCTTGGGTCAGCTTCCCAAGTAGCTGGGATTACAGGCGCCTGCCACGATACCCAGCTAATTTTTGTATTTTTGTAGAGATGGGGTTTCACCATGTTGGCCAGGCTGGTCTCAAACTCCCAAACTCAAGTGATCCGCCTGCCTCAGCCTCCCAAAGTGCTGGGATTACAGGCATGAACCACAGCACCTGACCAGATTGTGTTGGTATCTTAGAGAAGCAGAGAAGACCAGTTGTAGTAACTTCAGTTCTTTTGGCAACCACTTCATCCCCTGTAGCGGCACTGGCAATACCTGGATCCCCTTGGATCTCTTTTATAGTTTCTCTATACTCTTCTCCCTGCCCACCAAGCTTTTATTCCTAGCAGCTCATATCTATACAGGGGACTGCCTTTGGGCTACTAGAGACATTGCCTGCGTGCAAAGAGACTGAAGTGCCTGCTGGTTGTAAGAAGGGTCAGTTCTTTTGCCCTAGGTCAGGACAACTCTGAGGTGCAACTTCTACTCCAGAGCTCTCTGCAGGATCAAGCTAAAGCTCCTCTTTGTGTAAGATCATGTCCTTGCTTGGATTCTTCCCTTTCCCTTACTTCCCCATTCCCTTACTAGCTTCCCTTGGGAGCATTCCCTAATAAGTAACATGCACACAAATCCTCATCTCAGGGTCTGCTTCTGGGGAATCCAACCTAAGGTCCTTCCTGAGAATGTATTTGCTATGGTGGTAGTGGTGTGTGTATCCTTGCACTCTTCATGATAAGCTACAACTTCATCAGCTCTTCTTCACACACATTCACCTTAGACAGGGCACCTCCACACCCTCTTACATTTTCTTCCAGGGAAGTCAGCTGCTCATCCAGTCTCACTTGGTCTGTCCCACGAGGAAACGTCCCCTTCTCTCTGTCAGGAGGGACTTGTGGGGACTCCCAAGGCCCTGTAGATCCTGCTATCAACTCCTCTGTGGCATTGATGACTTTCAGGACTTCTGTGGAGATGTTGCAGAGAGAAACAGCAGAAAACTTCTGTTTGGTCCGATAACAGAAGGGGACAGAAGACAAGAACAGCACATTAACAATGACACAGAAATTCTATGTTATCATGACACTCATCATCATGAGGTTGATTCTGTAATTCCACACACAAACACCAATGTGCCGAGGAATGAGATTAAACTAGACACAGCAGAAGAGAACTGAGGGGAGGCCTGATTTGACTTTGCCTAGTTTCTGTGACTCATAATAAATTATTTCAGATTCTTGGGGAGGGAAGGAGGAAGGAGTGCTAGAGTGGAAGCTGTATGTCCTCTGCCCACTGCTGGTAGTTTGATATCTCTTACCTTATTTGCTGAATAATATTATACTTCATCAGCAAAACTGAAATCTCAGACTGAAGTGTGGTCCAGTGGGTAGCTTTCTGGACTGGCATTTAAGAGACCTGGGCTCCAGTTCTGGCTCTAAATTCACCCAGTTATGGGACCTTGGCCAAGTTATTTCTCATTTCTGGAACTCATTTTTGTCATTTGTACAATGAGGGTACTAGAAAGAATTTCTCTGTAGTTTCTTGATAGACAGTGTATTAGCTCACACACCTATTTTCAAGCCCATTCTCTCTTGCTGTCTTCTACCATGGGGGTGAACAGGAAAATACTCAATTTTCCTGCTTCCCTTGCAGCTAGGTGTAGTCATGTGACACAATTTTAACTAGTGAGTCCACAGGGAAAGACTGAGGAGTTTCTAGATAAGCTTTTGTTTTCCTAATCAGGGGAATTGGTGCATCTAATGTTCCTGTCTTCCTCCCCACTTGTTTCTGCCTTAAACATAGACATGCA